TAGTCTGAAACCCACATTGTACTGACCTGGACTCGGGAGGACGCGAGTTTCCACACGTGGCTCCACGCTTTTGACAAAGACCCTGCGTTGCGTGTCCCTTTGCGAAGCATAGTCGGTTGCTGGCACCGACCAATCATAGCAGAGGTGTTTGTGAGCAACCTCAAATAAGCGGAACGAGGGAGGCCAACGCGCGTTATATAGCCAAGTCCTCCACACCCCCCTTGAGTTGTCCATCTGCGGCTTCTGAGAACACCAACCCTAATCCCCCTCTTTCAACGTCCTTGTTGTACTTTATATCCAGGACCGAAAAGAAAATCAACTCTCAAACTCTGATCACTCTTTGCTTTTCAGACAAGGGACGCTATCGCTAAATCAGCCATGTCGACCATACACCTCACAATCCACGATCTCCTGCGCATAACATACACCTACGAGATGCAAGCCATAGAATCTCAAGCACAAAGCCAACAATACTTACAACGTCCCCGCTCGGACTCTGCATGTTCCGTAAGTCCTTTCCAGTTCCCCCGCAACATGTCGGTAAACTCTTCACAATGTGTGTACTAACAAAGAAGCATCAGATGCCCGAAATATGCGCACATCTTTCGCCTCCAAGCCCGAGGCTCTCGTCTGCATACCCAAACCTCGAAGAACTAGAAACGGATTTTACAAATTTGTTTAGTCAGAAGAAGAAAGTGAGCGTATGAAATATCACAGATCGCTCTCCATTCGGCCTTGAACCCCAGGGTCAGAGAGGATTGAGCATGCCAGGTCGAAAGATCCTATAGCGCCCATGACAGTAGGAAAGCTTTCGTAGACGTGAGGAGAGTAGATTGTGGATAACTCTATCACCCGTCTCCCCTTGTTCTTTCCCGCACACCATATCGAGGACGCGAGTAGTACGCATCACACCACATTTCCAAGCTCTTTGCTTCTTCTACCTCATACCCCCACACTACTGGAATTCTTTTCCGGACGAACGCGCAACCTTTTATGGAGGTCGGACTCCACACACCACCCCACTCATGCAAGGAGAGGAAACAGGTTCGCGTGGGACGGTACGACGATCGCACCGGGCATTGTTTCCGCACACATCGGTCGGACGTCGCGCGTCATTGGCTGTAGTAAGAAGCAACGGCGGAGAGACGAGGGGTCAGACCGGGGCTGCGGAGGGCTGGAGCGTATGAGGATCGGGGTTTTGGTGTCAAGCGCGAGAGGCGCGCATGTACATAGCATTCCAACTTGTGTAATCAATCGAATCATGTGATCGATCAAACCCAGTGTGATATACCTATTCTCGCGCCAATCTGCACATATCCCACTGTTCTGTACAATAAAGAATATTGGACGTGATAAATTCTGGTGCTTTTATTGTTCATGTTGATGAGAATTACTTTCCTTGTTGCTGGTTGACCAGGGCGATGAAAATAGCTTGCATTGCTGTTGTACTCACTCCAGGATTTCTCTAAGTCGCTTAAGCGAATAATCAATTTCTGGAAATCGCGCAATCAATTCCTACCGTGCATGTATGCTAGTTGCGTAGTCTTGCCCAAATCAAGGCTGACATTGACGCGTCCTTTTCTGAGGGCTTTGAAAGTGTTGCAGCGCGACTCATCGTCGACGCAAAATCTGTGCTTGTGCACTGTGAGGCAGATCGTCACATTGTACTGCAAGCCAGGATATCAAAATATTGTGCTTACGCCTACCTCTCATATTCGTTCCATCGTCAAGATATATGTCTTAATAGCAATTGTGTGCTGTTTCTTTGGGTCAACTGTACTCCTGAGCGGTGGATTTTCAACGCAGCAAAGCTCGTGCAGAAATCGAGCCATAATCTTGCCATAAGAACGCTGCCTCTGCGCCAGGTGACTGAATGGCCTCCCCTCATCTTCAGTCGTAGTCGTTCCCAGAGAAGCGCTAGACAATGCGCTGCGAGGGTTACCCATAGTGTTCTGGTGCAATCTGTGTAGTCATGGCGGCGTGCGGAAGGGGTCATTGAAGCTGTAAAAAAAGCAGCCAAAAAAGACCACCACCAGCGCTCTCCTATATGCACAACGTACGCCAGCTCTAGCTAGAGAATAAAAAATACTGCAATCTACAGCCGAGCTTCATTTTCAGCCTATGTCCTCTCCAGGAGCAAAAAAGTGCAAAAAGTTCGGTTGTATCAGGCCCTTGTTAGCCCTATACTCACCTCCTGATACAACCTACGTCTTTTGCTGGAATCGAACCTCTCGCCGCAGTCGAACCTCTATCCGGACGGAACGCAGAAACCAAATCGGGACGTACCTTGAACCTGGCCCATTGCCATCCACTTGTACCCTCAGGCTAGGTATTGCCGTGTGCCACCCTGTTGCTAGGTGCTGCTTGATGAAAGTATTGAGGATTTAATAACTCATATATCCAGAGAAAGTGAGCGGGGTCAGGTGTGATATCATTTTGGGTGACAGAATGAATGCACGGGGCGACGTGAACATGGGCCAAGGCGGGGACGTTACTACCTCCCAGGGGTCCTGCGTGACAAACAGAGAGCATAGCTGTGCCTTATGATGCTCCATCTTGCTGCGGACTTTGTTGGGGCCATTGCCCTACCAGTCCATATCTTTCTGCACAGTCTTGACCTGACCTTGCTTCTCCATCCCCCACGGAGACACTCTACAGCAACTCTGCTTGGGACTGAGCATTGCTTCAAGCAGGCCTTCTCCTCGTTGCTTCATGCAGACCTTCTCCTATTTGCCTGGTCTGGCTGACCTGGTGCTGCATCCATCGAGTGCGCGGGCAATGAGCCTTGGCGGGGAGTTGACATTGCGCCCCTCTCCCCCTCCAACGACAACAACACCAGCGCGAGACCATCACCATACAAGCCGACGATGTCTTTCTACTCATGAAAGCTTGCATGCGCTTCTCCAGAACAGAGTAACGACCTTGTGTGTACTCAAGGCATGTCCTTTACAAAACCTTCGACGCAGCAGCGGACCTCAACACCATCGGGCGAGTCTCCCACGAGGCAGACGATGGTCCCGAAGGATCTACACGCCACACTCCAAGGAGAGTCATGAGTGACTCGAGAAGATCTGATATAACCTCGAGTAGATGCAGGAATCTCTTCCGAACATGTCGTGAACGGCAACCTCTCGACTGCAGTAAGTAAAACCGCTGCGATGATATGAACCATTCTTCGCGAATCGATCAAATTCGTCTCATGAGAAGAGCACAGGCTCCTGATGCATTGCACAATGCCTTTGTATGTAGCGCGGGCCGTGTCGAAGCAACAGATCGCCGCTATGAGCGCCTGCATACATCAATTTGACTTCCTATCGCGCATCTCCCAAATGCGACAACGGAGACATGGCGACTTGGGTCAAGGGGAACACAGAGGCCCCGACAAGGGGCAATGACATTCGCACACAACTTGCTCGTCTCTGCAAGACCACACTCGCCGCAGCAAGCCCCGTGAAGGTTGCTACAACCCTGAGCAGCGAACAACACCACAAGAGCTCTTGCTGTGATGAACAAACAGCTGAGGGAAACCAATGTAGGCAAGTATGACAACAGCGCAGGTTGATGAAGACTGACATCGGCTGTGTAGATGATCAGTCTCAGCGTACCGCAGCTCGATGTCTGCCCCTCTTGCAAGACTTGAAGGGAATTCAGTGCCCCTCCCTGCACAATGCGCACTCTGGTTACAAGATTTTTTGACAATCTTGGTCGAACTGAAAGGGGCGACGAATGCTTTACAATGTCCTCGATCGACTCGTTTGTCCAGTAATGAAAGTCTTTGTTCGTAAACAACACCTCGAGTACGAGACGCCGCCCCGGCCGCAGAGCCATCCCATTACCCAGTCTACCAAAGACTATCGTTGGGTAATGAATCGAAACATCGGGGAGTATTGCCGTCGAAATACAACACCACTTGGCCGAACAAGGAATCACAGGCGTGGATTCGGTTTACTTGAGGATGCTGGCACCTTGTGGTCACCACCGAGCAAGGCCAAAGGCTGACAAAGGCGCTCCCAAATGTATGGTTGAGAGTCCGCGGACGGATTCATACCATTGCATAGCCCAAGTTCCATCTGCAAACCAGCTAACAGGTGTGGTAGATGCAAAACGCAAGATTAGCATCACGGCTTGCTACTGGCCTGCAGAACTGTGGTGTCCGATCATCAGTCCACAACACAGCGCGTGAAGCACCTCGTATCAAGCCCTCGAATGATTACCGGTCTCTTTTTCGTTCAGGGATTCCGTTCTTAAGAGATGGGTGATGGACGAGCAGCCAGAAACGACGGTTCTACTGGTGTTAAGGCTGCCGCTCCTGCAGACAGTGATTCAGGGACTGTATATCGAGGCACATCTCCGTCGGGTACGCTGGTGTTCGATCGTATATCCCAAAGCTTTCTTTGTTTCCGGTCCCCAGAACTAGCAACCATACAGGCAGATGTAGGAGATCGGTATCATATCTCAGGTATTCGGATACCAACATATAAGACTAAGTGCATGGTGCAGTTAAGAGAGGGTTTCTCAGGCCATATCTCGCCGGACGGTGACAAGCTTGAATAAGGAGAACAAGGGGCAAATTTAAAGGGGCCTGGGAGCTCAATGGCACTTTCCTGGGCATCATCTGACTTGGCAGGAAATCGCGATAACAATTCGGCTCCGTCGGAAACTCCTCAAGTACATCTGGTTGCGCTGTATGATGACCTTCTTTTGCTCAAGATGAGAAAAAGAAGGCTCACGTTATTCTGGCCCGGATGATACTCGCAATCGTATTGCTTCTCAGGATCGTTATGAGTTGGGCTCCTCTCAATTTCTCTGGCCAGAAGAATCCATCATACGAGCTAGAACCATGAAAGGTTTCGATACTGAGATACCTTCCTGTAAACGGATGATCGATGCTGCCTTCAACTAGTTTGGGGGTAGCCTAGGGGCTCTCACCCCAAACCAAACAATACTGGCGACTCTTGGTACTGTAAATTCTTAGCCAATGCATGTAGCGGCCATAGGCACTAACCCTTGTAAAGGGTAATGTCTTCACCACTCCAGCCGAAGTCGAGTATGTAGTCTTTCCAGGAAGTGGAGGCTACAACTTGGGCTGATATGACAGCGTGCCTGGGCAATCCAATCCACGACGGGTGATCGAAATATTCGAAGAACTCAAAAAACTGAGAGAACCATCCATCAGTCTGATGTATCCCATTCGGCGATGTCGTCGGCAGTTTATTCTTTACCGGTAAACTCAACATGTTGTCCTATTGCAGATGCGGAAGCACATAGGCCGATGCACGCAAAGTTCATGGACTGAACAGTCCATTCATACATGATTGAAATACGACAATGGGTCATACCGGCAACGAGAATATCGCCAACAAAGGGGACCACCAGCGGAATGCTTTGACCGAGGAAGCCAGGTTGATGCTCCAAATACCCCTTGAGGCGCTGACCGAAGTCTATGATAGGACGGTCATGGTATATGTTCTCCTGAGGATGAATACCGACGCCCGAGTCTGGCACGTGTGGACTCCAGTCGGCAATTGCCGTCAAGGTACCTTGACATGCCGCCGGAAAGCATGCCGTCTATCAGAACCACTGTCCTGGTGGAACCATTATTCTTGTCAAGGTCAACAGCGACCATCTATGAGCTTACTCCAGCAAGGCCGCGGGTTGAGTGGGGCCTAAAAGCCTTGATGTCCATGTCAAAACTCAGCCCACACACCTTCACCATGAAGTATGACAAGAAGAGATGTCACATTCCCTGATGGCACATCCAGTGTGAAGCGGAGACGTGCCGCTTGTCGCTCACGCCCATGTTATGATCACGAAGTACGGGACTCGATGTCGACTTTCCTAGCTCTTACTCAAGCTTAATGCGCTTGTCAAAGCGGCTATGCCAGCCCCCATCATACTGCGTTACTGATGCCTTGTGTGGACAATATCCAAACATTTGGCCCTCATGACAACGCTTGGCCGATGGTCTCACCCAAGAGAGCAACGATGCCATTGCCAATGATGGCCAGCAAAGCGCCCGTCATGGCCTCACAGTTCTGCTTGTGTTCTGTTTGCCAACGAAGGTGGCCGTTACTATGCCGATGCCATCGTCAACGTTCTTGTCAGGCGGAGCGCGATATCGTATGACGGAAGGCCATATGATTACCGGAAGCCTCATCGCTGCAGTTTGAGGCATCGGGCGTCTTCGCGCCATCTATGCTTTCGTATGCAGCCCTGCAAGAGCTTGCGTGAATTCGCGATTTTGGCCTAAGAAGAAAGCATACATCGTAAGCCACGCACACAGAACTCAATGGGGGGATACTTGCGAGAGAAGGCACACGGTGCCAATGAGTATGGCATGCCATCTGCATCTACTCACCTATCGCATTCGGAATCTATGCTCAGGATCCCTCGTTGTGTGTTGTGTGGCGCCTGTCGGCTACCTTTGTGTTGTGATCTTGGAGTCGTTCCGTTCGCGTCCCGTGAGGCGTATAGGCGAATGAATTGGAGCTGGCAGTATGCCATCGTCGTCAGCTATGGGCTTCCGCTTATGCTGCTGGCGCTGGCGACTCGCTGTTAGAAGTGTCTTTAATGTGTAGGATGCCCTATACGCCGCGGCTGATGCTGCCTCCCGCATAGCTTTGGCTCTGGAACCACGGTGTCATTCATCCGCACCATGTTTCTGTGTGCGTACCAGTGCCTGGCGAGGGGTAGCACTGATTCTGATGATGGCAGACATTATCTACGCCTTGCCATACATGATGGAAGGGCGTCCCTTGTGGTGTGTGTGCCCCAGCAGAGGAGGTACCCCCGCTATGAATATTCATCAACGGGGTCTTGGCGAGGTTGCGAACAGGACACGACTGGCTTTCTCGAAGAGAAGCGTCACCCCTGGAGCCGCAAAGAGGCTGAGATACCTGACCAGACACTGAAGATGCCGCTCTCTGTGTTTGGATGTCCAACATTTGGCGGATGGATGAACGGCGAGGTGAGGAGAGGCTCGATATGAAGAAGCGCCAAAGCTCGATCCACAGCGGAGCGGCCAGGAGGCGGACCACGGGAGCAGCAAGGCATAGCTTCATTTATCGAGAAACAAGGACAAGAATAGCGAGAGCTGAGTGCAGAAAACAACAGCACAAGGCCGAAAGTTGACTGATGTCGACATTGGGGTGGGTGGGGATGTTGTGTTGATGAGGGGCTTGGGACAAGCAAATTGCCCGGCATCCTATTCCCCACCAACAGAACCCTGGAAGCTGCTTGCGGACGTGCTCACCATTTGCTCAAAATGAACGTGCAGAAACGCCCACGATGCAGACTTCGAAGCTAGAGTATCAAGGAGGAAAACACCATCTACATGAATGAACGTAGCTGAAGATCTGCTCTACACTGGTTCAGATGTTGCAGCAAATGCATGCCATACAGCGAGAGGGGTCGCTACATGGGTCACGACTATGCTTTATGTCAAATGGCACGTCACGCAACAATGGTACGAGACTTTGGGATCATAATTCATTTCCATGGTCTAAGTGTTGGTGACTATCCAGCTAAAGAGAGAACGATAGATTTCTCAACTATGCCAACGGGGAATATATCGCTATCATGCTGTCCAGATTGTCCATCCAACGCCAGAGCCTGCAGAAGCAGCAAAGTGGCTAGTACTAAACAAAAGAGATGGGCAAAAATAATGGGGTCAGTCCGTTATATGTGAGGCTTCGAAAGGCTAATGAATCATCGTTACGTGGCATGGTGGGAGGCTGTGCTTTTGGAGCCCCATACAGCACGTTGGGAAACGAGGACAGCCTCCCTGCCCGTGACAACGTTAGAGTATCGCCCAATTGGGTGATATCAAAGATGTAGGCTCACGGCTTCGCGTACTGTTGTGTCCATTCTTGAGCCGTCTGAATAGCCTGATTCTTGTTCTCCTTCCACGCCTGGGCGACATCGTTTGCAAGGGGATCGTCCGGGTTGGGCGCGCCCAAAAGAGCTTGAATCGAGAGCAGGATCGTACGAATCTGGAGGGCAGGCGACCAATTACCTGGACATGTCAGCAAAGCCTTGGTAATGTGAAGTGTGACTCCAAACTTACTTTTCAGAACATCAAGGCAGATACGACCCAGACGATCGATGTTGGGGTGATAGATCTTTGTGAGAAAGCGGACCTTGGGCGGCGTCATGGGGTAGTCATCTGGGAGAAATAGCTCCAACTTGAAGACACCGCCTATGGAGGGTTTGTCAGTTGAAAACTTTAACATTACTGGGCACCAGCATACCCTCATAAGGCGACTGGCTAGGGCCGTCAATGGTAACATCGAAATACCTCAGGTTGTCGTCGTGCGGCGTCGCGCTGATTCCTTGAACACTACACAGGGGCCCCAGATCAGTAAAATAGCATGCCATCCCATCGGGAATACCTACGGCTCGTTGACCAGGCGCTCAGTTTCCTTGATGATTCGCTTGGGCAGCGCCATAGCTGATGGTGGGGCAGGATGCCGCTTGTGTAGAGCGAGAGGGGGTGAAGGGTGAAGGCTCGTGTGGAGAAAGCGAATATGCTTTTCGGTACCAGCAAAAGGTGTGGAAGTCTTCTTTATCTGCGTTTGGAGGAGCAAGCCTGTGTCGTCTGGTCTTGGGTAGGGCCTAAGGGCTAGACATGCATGTGTGATGTTGCGTAATCGGCCAGCGGCGCTAGAGACGCCTGGACAGGGGAGCCACTGCCTGCTCCATTACCACTGCCGTCACGACTACACGCGCATGCCCGAGACGGCCAACAACAAGATGGCGGCCACGGCGGGCGGGCCTCTATCAGCGTTCCAGTCGCCGACGTTTGATCGCGATGTCGAGGTCAAAGTAGATGATGAGATCGGCGCTGCCAGCATAAGCCCAGCAGGCCGCGACATCGTCCTTGCCAGCAAAAGCGGCCTCCGCATCATTGACTTGGACAATCTTTTTTCCTTACCTCGTTTCATTCCAAACCAATCGTCGTGGGATGTCGCTGATGTGCAGTGGTCACCCTTTGCGGCACGCGCAGAATGGATTGCTACCACCCGCAATCAGCTCGCGCTCGTATACAATCTCTCCATGCCGTATAACAGCAAAAAAGCACCCATTGAATACACGCTACGCGCCCATGAACGCGCCATTACAGACATCAATTTCTCTGCCCATCATCCAGATCTGCTCGCGACATGTGGAGTTGACAGCTTCGTCTTCATACATGACCTCCGGAGTAGGCAAGCCCCGTTGAAGCTCGCCGACTATACTGCTGGAGCAACCCAAGTTAAATGGAATCGCCAGAATGATAAGATCATTGCAAGCGCCCACGACAAGTACCTCCACATCTGGGATACTCGCCATGGAGCGACTCCCCTCTCGACCATTGCCGCTCATACCACCAAGATCTACGGTATTGACTGGAACCGCAACGACCCAAGCAAAATCATGACATGCTCTTTGGACGCGACCATAAAGCTTTGGAACAATGTAGGCAGGTCTGACCACATCACTGTCCCCCGGCGTGTCATCCGCACTCATTATCCGGTATGGCGAGCGCGCCACACGCCCTTTCCTCACGGGATTCTTGCCATGCCGCAACGAGGAAATTCGAACCTTTGGCTGTACAAACACGTCAACGATAGCGATGCATCAACCTTCAATAATGAGCCAGTTCACGCCTTTCAAAAGCACGATTCTGATGCTCAAGTTCGCGAGTTCCTATGGCGTTCTCGTGGCTCTACTGACCACAGCATCGATAATCGTGACTTCCAGTTGATTTCTTGGGGGACTGACAGGCGCCTGCAACTCCATCACCTCGATCCCAAGCTCCTCGAAAAGGCCGTCGGCTATCGAAAAGGCGAACGGCTTGTCGAAGAGCCCAGTGCGACGCGTAGAGGGGCTACCTACGTATCCTATCGCGATGGTCCCATTCCTACCACTACTGCAGGTGATCGGGACCACTTTGGTCCACCACGCCAACAACGGAAAGGAAATTTGTCAACCTTGCTGCAGAACTATTCCCTCAACGAAGACGTTCACATCCCTCGCTTTCCTGGGCAAACACACGCCAAGATACATCCAGAGATAGTGCAGAGAGAGACCATGACTGCCCAGCCCATTCGCCGAAATGACCCACGTGTTGTTAATCACATAACTTGGATCAATGGAGTCAAATTTGGGGGCGATCGTCACAACAATGTCAATGATATTCACGCTCGACCCAACCAGCAGGATCTTGGCGAGAAATACCCGTACCAGGAACAGAATGACCTAGGCGCTGAAATATCATATGTCGGCAACAAATACAAGAAGCTCGCTTTTGAAGAGATTGACGTGCCGGGCCGCTACATCAAGGTCTCGTTCAACGGGCCCTGGGGCGACTACGATCTTGCAACTGATGGTGCGAAGCTTGTGTTTCTTCGATTTACTATCAGGTTTCCGTCTGCTTATCCCAAAGCTGTTGAAAACGGACAACCCGATTCCATCCGACACAAGATACCAACCCCACTAGACATTGAATTTGAGAGGACAACGGCATCCATCAGCAAAGAACACCAAGAAGAACTAGTCCATAATATGCATCGCATCGCTGCTACCTGTGCTGAACAGGAACGCGAGGCACTGGAAGCAGTACTCTCGTATGCTTTGGGAGAGCGTGCTTTGGACGATAGTCTGGACCTGGGTGAAGACGTTGAGCCACTCGAAGATCTTGGACCCTTGCCGGGAGAAAGCTCCAGCGAAGACGAGGATCATGAGGGCGAGTTTACTGATGACGTGATGCAATCCTCTCATATGAATGCTAATATTCCTCTTCCCATTCAATGCACTGCCCGGTTCTCAGCCAACGGGTCACTTGTGGTTGCAAGGATACCACCAGTAAAATCAACGCCTGGCTCGGAGGTGTTCAGATTTCAGATTGCGAGAAATCTTCGCCAAAGCGGCCTGAAGAACGATATCTTTGATTCTTTTGGTCGCTTTACTTCCCGTCGTGCCGAGGATTCAGATGGAGCGTCGTCTCCATCCTCTTCTGTTGGCTCTTGGGAAACTTCTTCCACTCCATCGTCTTCATCTGGCTCTGATCATGACGGGAATGCACGTATTGGCAACTTTCAGCCTCCTCTGGCTTGGCAGAAATCCATTTCTCGCTTTCAATCACGGAATTCGTTGCCTTCTTCGGGTGGTGTGGCAAAACAGCCATCCAAGACTAAATCCACGGTGTCTATCCTGTTTTCGGCTACAGACGACATGGTTCCGAGCAAGCGTGTACTTGCGGAGGAATACCGAATTTTTGGCCCTGGCCCCATCATTTGCGAGCACAACTCTCAAGTAGCAAGAAGACACGGATTCGAGGATCTTGCCGATATTTGGGTGCTTTGTAAACTAATTTTGAGCAATGAAGTACCTGTGGGGATACTTCCTCAACAATATCGGAGAGACCAGGTCCTTGTGCTGGCCCGAAGGGCTCTTGTAAGGATCAAACGCAAGGACAGTGGGCTCGACCTCGCGTTCGACGAGTCAGAAAGCGTGACCAACCCTCAACTCAATGCTCGGGTCAAGTGGGGTCATCACCCTATTGTCACTTGGCTGATACCTGCACTTTTTGACCACTTCGAGCGCCTGGCAGATGTTCAGATGCTTGCCATGTTGTCTTGCATATTTGCGGAACCTGCTACACGCGAAGGTGTGACATCAGCCATGGCTAAAATGCGGCAATCCCAGCTCCCTATGTCTATGGAAGCACCGGCATTCTCCCTAGACTACTTCCCCTCGTCGGACGCGGCATGGAGTTTGTTCAAGCCCACGATTTCCATCCCACCTACGCCTTCGTATTCACGCTTTGCAACCCCGGTCAATGAATCTGGCTCCCAGAGGTCCGTCAAGAATCTCGATATCTACGGAAGTCATGGGAGTTCAAACGGGCCATGGAGTAGCGACGCATTCCATTCGGACCCCGTTACACCTTACTCAACTGGCAACACGCCACCCCTCTTGTCTCAAATACCTCCAATTAGAAACGCTCACACAGCAAATCACACTCCATATGGCACATCGCCAGAGAATAACCACACAGCTCATAAGAAGAGCTCGACTGCAAACTTTGCGAGTGCTGTAGCAGCGTTGTCACGGCCTTTTTCAAACGCAATGTCTTCTTCACCTCCGGTCAGATCACGGATCGAAGATCTCTCTACATCCGCGCCGACCAGTGGGGTGACTTGGGGAACAACGACATTTTATGGAAGTGACTCTCACGACCAAAACAACATGGCAGCTCCACGCGCAAAGCAAGGAAAGCGCGCAAGCTTTGGACAATCTGAGCACGTCGATATCAACTACATTGGCGAATCCGACTCAGATTACGAAAAGGTGGATGATGAAGGCAGCTACGCCACGACAGGTGTCAAAGAGCGTAGTATGCCCGGCACGCCTCGAGAGGGCGATGGTGGCAGGGCTATCAAGGTCACACTCAAAAATCAAGACCAGTTCGATGACGAGGCATGTTTCAGTCGGCCGTTACTAGATGCAAGTAAAGATTGGCTACATCGTGTTTGGCGAGAGCAGTATGCTGAGATGCTGAATCGGTGGGGTCTAGTCAGTGCTCGAGCTGAAGTACTCAAGTTTAATGGGCTTGTTTCGTACTTTCCAGTCGAGTATTCTCGTACCAGCTCAAAGTCTGGCTCGATTTCACTCGCAATCAAACGGTCGAGCGATGATGAAGAAGAGGATGAGAAGATAGCTCAACGCGTGTCAAGAGCCTCGACAACATTAGTGCCTCCAACACCCACTACAGTGCAATCGAAGCGCCTATCTGGTGCATCTCCAAAGCACTTTTCCTTCAATCCAGAGGCTACAGAGTTCCAGCCAAGCACCATAACAAACATCCTGTCGGAAGAACAGATAGCGGACCTGCCTATGGATGCATTCATTCCTCCAGAGCAATACTTGCGTCTCTCAATACCAGTTCGCACGCCCACTGCAGAGCTTGACGAGAGCCTTGCCGGATTAAGCACATCACCTGCTCAGTCCAAACTGCAACCACCCCCGAGCCGGTCCAGCAGGCCAAGTCTCTCACGGGGCACATCCAACGTCTCCGGTGGCTCATCGTGGCGCGAAGGCCGCCCAGCCCCCATCGTTAGCACCGAAATCTCCAAGCCCGCAGAAATAGAAACCACCTACAGCTGCAGCATCTGCTGGATCCGCGTCTCGGGCCTCTTCAACCTATGTCCTGCGTGCGGCCACGTCGCACACATGGACTGCATGGGCGACGAAATCGGCGTCGACGAAGGCGAATGCATCGTCGGCTGCGGCTGCGGCTGCGGTCTCGAAGACGATGACGAGCGCTCCAGAATGGAAGCGTACATCGAGGGTGTCCGTGCCGCGCATGCTGAAGGCAGCACCTGGGAAGACGGCAGCGAGTGGATGCCCAGCGGCACCACAACGCCTGCTTTGTACTCAGAGAGCGCGTATGGCGACTTTATGACGGGTGGCGCGAGTAAGATGATGGGGAGTGGGGATCGGAAGAAAGAGAGAGCGACCGGCTTAAGGCGCAGAGATGTGGTGAGTCCTACGCCTACTAAGACGAAGAAGAAGAGTAAGAAGAAGGTTAGGGCTTCGGGGTTGAGTTATTATTGAGGTTGAGGGAGTGTGTGTTTTTTTATTTCGTCCGTTTTTCGTTGTTTTTCTTGGAGTTTTTGTGGGGTTTATGCGAGAAATGGCGGTGTTGTATGATTACGCAGAGTTGATACCCCCCCCCCAATGATGTATACATTTGCCATGGGCCATGTAATACAACTGGAACGTTTTGTTTTGGTTTTTCTTATCTCTTCTTCTTCTTCTTCTTCTTTCTCTTTTGTCACAGGCTCCCCCCCCCCCTTTTTTCTTCTTCTCTTTCTACCGTTTCACGTGCTAACGGAGTTCAGTAACCACTGATGTAATACATTATCATGTATCAGTATTTTCTTTTCTTGAGAGATATGCAGAAAACCTGTATGGCGTACTTTTTGGAAGATCCAAGCAAGTGTATCTGCTATCGTGTGCGTTCGCAACGAGGAAAAAGGTTAACGGAGGAAAGTTTGAGGGATTGAGGCTGTGGATTACACACACAAAGAGTTCATGGTATTTCTACCTCTAGTCGGGAATCATCAAGACTAGCTAGCCACGTATGATACCATCATTTACTCCTAAAATGCTAGCACCTGAGAGATGATAGTGAACATGAATGAATTCTGACTTGTTCTTCATCCGGCCCACTTTGCTCTCTTAAAAGAGCCAAGGGCAACAAAAAAACGACCCTCATGATCTCCCCAACTCACACACAAGTCTATAGATCCCTTTCCAACTGACCCACCACTTACTTCAGCGCCTTCTCCGCCTTTTGGGCGGTGTTCTTCAAATCCTGGAGCTCACCCTTTGCCTGGCCCTCTGTGTTCTTCAGGCTCTGGTTGTAGAGATAAATACGACCGACCTGAGTCGCACCGACGCAAAAGACGAGGAAGTTGACAGCAGCCAAAGCGATGTTCTTGGGGCGGATGACGAAGCACCAGCGGGTCCAGATAGCGCCTGTGCACATGAGGGCAAAGTTCTGGGTGAAGGAGAGGGATTCGGCGGGGCGGGAGAAGTCGGAGGCGCCGGCGAGGACCATGCCCCATTTCATTACGGGAGCCCTGCAGAAGTGAGTCAGTACATATTGACATTCATATGCTGTGCTTCGTGTTTGGCAAAAGGTGTGTATTTTGGCCAGCGTCACTTGCGCACGCGACGCTTCGGACATTGCGGGGGGGAAAGTTTGGAAGCCGCCAATCTTTCCCTCCCCAAAAGAAAAACGTGCGTTTTTTGTCGCAAATGGTTGAAAGACTACGGGAAAGGGCGAAGCAGTGCGTACCAGAAATGCACAGTCTTTGGGCCGATGGGACTGTTCCAGAACTTTTGGAAGCCAGCGGGCTCGGCACCGGCAGCCGTGTTGACTCGTCGGCGGGCATTTGCGCGTTGGAAGAAAGGTCGGAAGGAGCTGAAGATGCGGGAGCCGGGGCGGAACGACATGATTGCTGTGTATTCTGTTTCCTCTCACTCTGTTGTCAGGAAAGGAAGAGGCGGGGCGTGGTCCGGAGGAGGGTGAGTGAGGTCCGGAAGCAATTGACGAATGCTGAGAGTCGTTTGTCGTTGGCGGCGATGTCGGGCCTGAGGGTTCGTCAGATGGGACAAATCCGGGATTAAACAATGGCGCTTCGTTGCTCCGACGGTGTTAGGCTACTTTGGGTATAGTGCGTTCCTGGACGGGGGCCAGCTCGACGAACATTGAATGTCGGCGCAGGCGGGCGCTTTTGGAGGGTGACGACACCTCCCTCCAGTTGATACCCTTTCACGCAACCGATCTTCACGCCCACGTTTCTCGCAATGGCCTCGAAAGCATTTGGAAATGGGCTCAAGGAGCTGCGCTTCCTGTTTTGCCAAACTAGCGAGCACAGCGCTGCGACAAGGTATGCGCTTTCACGATACAATATGTTTTGAGCGAGGGGAGTTGCAAACGCGATTGCGCATGATGGGGTGGCTGGTGAAGGAATTGTAGCTGACGGAATGATACAGGAACTTCCTCACCCGAAGCTATCCCGCCATGAAGAAGGCCAACCCGTCGATTCCCATCATGATCCGAGAAGCCAGCGGCACCGAGCCCACAGTCTTTGCGAGATTCGGTGCGTAGAAACGTAATAGAAAGAGAGAAGAGGACAAGGAATGCTAATTACGGATTACAATTTTAGATTTCGGAAAGGAGAGGAAGCTGCCGCTCAAGGGCCTCGACGACAAGGCCATTGAGCAACAAGTATCGGAACTAGTGCAGAAGGGCGCATGAGAAATGCGATTGGAAAAGCAAGGAAGAAATGACTAAAAGGGACGACATCACATACGATTGAATTCAAGAAAGCCTACTATAGGCTATTCTCTGTACATCCGTCTTTGAATCAACATATACAACAACAAAAAACATCAATTTGGCTCCCCCTCCCTCCGTCTCGTTTTCCCCTCTCACACACATCCTCCCCCCCTCCCCTACCCTTTCAATCCCTCGTACAACCCCGTACCCACATTCTTTATAGCCACCAATCCAAAACCCTCCATCACCCTTACTCACATACACCCATAAAGTATGAAACAACAAACAAACATCCACATTTACTCTCTCCCTCTCAATCACATCTCAATCACACACCAACCCACTAGTCCCTTGTTCCCTTCCCCCCTTTTTTTGTACAACAAAGCATACCCACGTTCACCCGTCGATACCGAACCTTGATCAAATTTTCACATGCAGGATCGCGTCATGATGCTTGGGCCAAGTTACACGGGGGGAGGGGGTTTGCATGTGTGTGTGTGAGGTGATTGAAAGAGCATGTGATCAAGTGGACATGTGACGAGTCTTTTTTTTTCATACGTATGTGTGTGTGTGTGTGTGTGTGTGTGTTTGTGTGTATGCTAGGAAATAGATTAGAGGGAGTATAATCTTTTTTTTGATAGGGGCTGTGGTGGAATAGGCGGGATTACGATTATGCTAGGGTCCGCAGAGTATATTCTAGCTGTATATCAGTATATCAGAATCGTTGATTTCCAGCATGTTTTCGAAATATATTTTTTTTTCTTCTTGTTGACTTAGTTAATCGTTCGTGTTGTCATTCGCAATCTTTCACCTCTCACCTGACCATCACGTTTTTTTTTTACCTCTTGCAATTTAACTTTCAATAGTAGGACAAGCTCATGTAACTCAGGTACAGAGAGACGTCAGAGGACCCGGCTTCCATGATTTCCTATCTAGGCATAGGCTATTTGTCATACCCATCTTTTCGGAAAGCCGCATTTTTCAAGCGAGAGGGGTATTTAGAAATGCACATGTTATCTTCCTTCGTTTGGACTAGCTATTGTTGTACTATGCAGGTACGTAGAAGGAAAAATTGCCGAATTTGGTATTACATAGAATTGCGTACTCCCGTTGCATCTTGATCTCGCCCACTGATCAAGTTCGAGGAGAGGGGTGTTTGTGGCGGAGTGAAGGAAAGAAAGATATTGTGTATCGTCAGAGGTATCTAGTGCGACTTACTGAACTACATGTTGAAATGACCCAATTGCGTAACGTTCTGGAACCTGTTCCAGTGCTACTGCAACAGTAGGTTCTAAAACATTACTTTTTCTAGAAAAACAGGTTATTTCCGGCAACCTGTCAGGTCTCGTGGGCCATTGAAAGGTGTTACTGAACACCCCTGGTCCTGCCCAAGTACAATTGGCCTTGTATACGTATCACCCTTTATGCCCAAACGCCAATCGAGTAGTTGATTAAAATGAATAATACAATGATTTTACAATCATCCCAGAAGAATCTCCCAGTTCCAATCCTTCATGACTCCCAGCCAATGCAATCGCCCCTTGACTGTGACCTCTGGATCCATTGAACTCAGATGGGAACTTGATGTCTGCTCCCACTGTCGTGTATCACTCCAGTTGAGCTCGTCTACCAAGTCAAACTCGTCATTTCGCATAGGTGTATACGACAAGAAGCTTTGTGCGCGAGTGTCATCCACTTGCATGGCCATGCGCTCTGCTGCGGATGCGTCTCGTCGACTCCATACTTCTTTTGTGACTTCCAAACACCGTTCTATTATTCCCAACTTCATGCGCGAAGACATGAGTTCCCAGCGGTCTTTGACCCATTCACGCTCCTCAGGACTGGTAGCCTCACAGCCAGCTGCCATGAGGGGGTAGATGTGTACAATGATTGAGCGGGAGCGTGGGTCAACTGTCGCCAAGCCGCACAGAACCTTCTTTGCCAGCGCACTCGAAGACTGTGACGGAATCTCCGGAACAGCCTGGTGTAGATATAATAGCGTTGCGTTTTGGTAGGCGATTGCGGTTTTTATCGTGTCATGCGGGCTTGTTGTTTCGTCCTCGGGGTCTTCGATGAAGGAAGGTGGAATCCAGTCTTCGAGCTGGGACTTGAGCTGCATAGCCTGCGAGATGATTGTAGGTCCATTGCCGTTGGACTTTCGCACCTTCCTGACAAGATTTGCCACGCGACCAATAATTGGGAACAGAGTGTGCGCACAGCCCATCAACGGGTCAAGAGTTGTGTCTGTCTCGCCAGCTCCGTAAATGCATTCTTGAACGGTATCGACATCGTAAGTTTCATCTTCGTCGGTGGATGTCAAGCGAGCAAGGACGTCCATATATGTCCAGGCGTTGCAAAGAAATTTCAAGCGAGTCCAATCCTCACCCTTCATAGGCGTTAGGCGGTGTTGTATGAGTGCTTGGTTGATCAAGACTTTTGCGCCTTTGATATGGTTGATGCCCGTGCTGATGTGTTGATCCCAAGACTCGGCAAAAGCCAGTACTAGGGTGGTAGAGATGGCTGCATCGACACGCATGTTGGGTAGGCCTGCAGCCAGGGCGTGGACTGCACTCCGCATATGATCGATCCCTTGAATGCGCAGAATGGGAATGTCTTTGGACTGGTGAAAAGATGTCATGGAGACAATTGCGTGATAGAGGGCAGGACATTCTCGTGTCAGAGGCCAGATTAGAGTTCGCCATGGATTCTCGGTTGGACCATCTTTGACAGACAGCACGCCGCATGTGTCGCGATGGTAGCGACGTGACAAAGACTCTGCTGAAAGAGAAGAAAGCTGTACTTGAGCAGGTATTCGGCAGGTAGGAGAGTCTGATGAAGATGAGCTTGAGCTGGATGAGGCAGGCGAGGGCAGTGGTAGGGTCCAGTTTCCCGGATCTTGACGAACGTAGCGCACTAGTTCTTCGTTGTCGTAGTCCTGATCGGTTGGCGGTGGCGGAGTTAGACCGGTGGGCTGGTAGAAGGCTTCATGCTGAGTTAGGAACGACGAGTATTCTTCTGGTGGCACACTGAGGTCTGTTCCCGGCATTAGGAGATCTACAAGGCGGGGTGATTGACCAGACGAGACGCTGGAATCGGCTGTCCCCTGAGTTTGTGCTGTGCCTGTGCTTTCCGCCCCAAAGGTACTGCATGATGCTAGGGATGCTTGTGCGTGTGAGTCGACAGGCGATGTCAACTGAGGTGTTGTTATGAAAGGGGATGCGGAGGGGGCGGCGGACAAGTTTTCTGCTAGTTGGACTAGTTCGAGTGGAGGCTGAGGGAATGATGGGCCTGTAGGGGAAGCATGCATGAAGTGGTAAGGCGGTTGAGGCTGGAGCAAATGTGAATTGGGAGATACACTAGTGAATTCATGTTGGCGACCGTGGGTGGTGGTGGTGGTGTGGTCTTGGGGTGGTGAGTGGGTAGAGGCGGGTATGTTGTCTACACTTGTTAGGAGGGACTTGCTACTTTGATCAAGCAACCGACCTTTGCGTGACTTGGCATTCGATTTCCCCCTGATGATGGGCTCTTCGAAAGGCCTCCACTTGAAGTCCTTCTTGTAGCCACCGCATGGGACTACACGCCGGGCACACTGGTCGCAAGTGGGCTTCTTCTCGTCACATTTCAAGCGCTTTGCTTTACATGTGATGCATCCTAGGCCAAAGGCATCAGCATTGGTGGTTTAGCGGGGAATGGCCACATGTTGGGTGTCGGTGAAGAGGATAAGGCGGGGAGAATCAGGGCGTACCGTTGCGGCTTTTGGTCTGCTTCCTCTTGTTGAGAAGAGCATTGGCCGATGGTTGTGAGGACATGTTCTTGCCAGACTTTACGTCAGCTCGGGCATTCTCCGGGAGGACTAGTTGTAGTAGCGGAGGGGCGGGACCAGCGGTAGCGTCCGCTGTGGGCAGGAAGGGACAAGAGGGCTGGGTTGCTGCACCAGCTTTGGGGCAGACTGTGTTTTCATATGCAGTTACATGAGGGCAAGGCGTCGGCAACGGTTGCAAAGAGGCGTGGCAGGATGGAAAAGTGAGGTAGCAGTAGATAAGCAGCACGGAAGGATGGGGTCGCTAAAGTGGAGCTGAAGCTGGGGGAGGTGGGCAGCTACTTGGCTAGCGCAATGGCTATCGAGCGGGCTTGGGAACCAGTCGTGGGGAACACCAAAGTGAAGAGCAAG